ATTTATATCTAAAGTTATACATTTTATGCTATTTAAAAAATCTTTTTCTTTTTTCCGACTTGTCTTCTCTTATAATCGCACGCAAACGAGCGTAATGATTATATTTTGTAAAGGAAAAAAATTTCGCTATTAATTAATGATAAATATATGCAAGCATACTTTTCTTTTTTCTTGTATATATGTACACACACACACACACACACACACACACACACACACACACACACACACACACACACACACACACACACACACACACACACACACACACACACACACACACACACACACACACACACACACACACACACACACACACACACACACACACACACACACACACACACACACACACACACACACACACACACACACACACACACACACACACACACACACACACACACACACACACACACACACACACACACACACACACACACACACACACACACACACACACACACACACACACACACACACACACACACACACACACACACACACACACACACACACACACACACACACACACACACACACACACACACACACACACACACACACACACACACACACACACACACACACACACACACACACACACACACACACACACACACACACACACACACACACACACACACACACACACACATACATACATACATACATACACAAAAAAGGGTAAATTTATCCCCCCATATATTTGATAAAATATAATAAAATCATATATTTCCACTATTTCGATAAATCGTCTCGCCGTTCGGATCTCGGTGTTACTTTTCGGAAAAATCGTCCATTTCTTTCGGGGGACATTACGTGTCCACCTCGTGGCCAAAGTGTGAAGGGAGGGAGGGTAGGTGGATAAGGAGAGATCACTCGCGCCGATGGCTATCGATAACCATGCCACCTGGGGAAGCGCCTCCGTCTCGGGTTGGCGCGATCGATCGATCGCGAAGCTCGCGGCGAAGGCCGCGACTCCCAAGAGTCAGCTGGCAATTATCCGCGAAAACTTCCTAATTGATACCGACTCGCATCCGTGTGCTTCTGGATAATCGCGCACGTCGGCGCAAGTGTGCGTAATTCACAGCCACTTTCGAGGTTTCTACGCCGATTTCGTTACTTTAGTCAGCGTTCTCGGTCGAATATTACCGTTGTGCCGCACCTCTGCATCGCATCTCAGCGTGATCAAGTCATTAAGTTAGTACCGTGTATGTATTCGTTTGTATATATACGTACGATGTGCACCATCCTCGGAAGATTGCGGGAACGGGGCGGCAATATTGAAGTTTCATTTAACCGGCCGTGCGATATTGAGCTGTAATACTGCATAAAAAAATATATATATTATGTATATTTGTATTATTATATATATGTATATCGACATATAAATTATACCTTATTACGTTGACGAAAAACTATGTAATATATATTTCACTATTTATATTTAAGGGGCGAATTCTGTGTCTCAGAAACTTCTTACTTCGCGTTCCTCTTCAATCTTTCGAAAGCGGTGCACGTGTATAGATACGTCCATGCATTTCGTTTCAACTTGTGACATCGCGTGAATCGGGATTCATCTTGCTCAAATGATGTGAAGAATTGTATGGGGTCAAGGGGCGGGGGAGGGTGAAAGACGTCTTCGAAGAAGTACCGGCCTGTCTCGCGCCATGTTGAGTTCGGCTTGATTGTCGACTCTGCGTTGTCAACCGTTTCACCCCTCGTCGCCTTTCCGCGTTGCCATCCCGTCGGTAACGCGAATGGAGACGGAGATCTTGGCGAATCGGAGGGGTTGTCGTTGACCGACGTGTCGCTTGACAACCGATCTTCGGGACGGTGAACGAATCCGTGTCTCAAGGGAATCTCGTCGGGGAACCACTGAAGGGCTCGAGACGGGAAACCGATGCGCCTTGCCGAATCATTTTTCAAGCATCAGCGCGGAAAACGCGGCCGCAGAGACCTCGTCGCGCTCGCCGAAGGTCCCAGGGACTTGTCGCCGGCAATGTTATCAATAGGTCCGTTCTTTCCAACTGAACCGCTTGAACTGGTGATGAAGACTGGTTTCACTCTAACTTGTCGTACCGGTTCAGACAGTTCAGTTAAAAGGAATCTAGTACAACACACAATCCGCAAAACAATTGACAACTGGTTGTAGTAATGCAAGAATGATCCACGTGAAGTACACTTCAAAACAAATGAGATGAACATTCGATACATATAGTTTAAAAGGTGTAGATAGCATTGAGATAGTTCTTCGCAGTCAATTTTCTTCTCTTTAAGGTTTTATGCAGAAATACGTCCTAGTCATTGGTGAAAACAAAAGCTCAAAAATCGTGATTCTGCAGCTTGGATCGTTCTTGCATAACTAAGGCCAACTGGAGAGTGTTGGATTTCGTGCGAATATGCGTAGGGTTCTCCGTGGTCACTTTGTTTACTTTCAGAATATTAACAATGAAAAAGAAGAAAATAATTCAGAATTATTCTGCTTCCCGTTGTGGGTCGATTTCGATTATTGGACAACAGTATTACATGTCTTGGAACACACACAACACACACAACATACAAAAGATACACATACACACATACACGAGACTCACGCATGAGATTAACTCGCATCGATCGCAATTAACAGTCACACTCGGGGTATTAAATCTACGCATTGCTCTCGTCTAGTCTTATTATGCTTCTCGTGCTTACTTATCATATTTCTATTCGGAGCTTCTTTGATCGTTGACGTATTATTTTTTTATGTAAATTTCTCTATAAATCTACGATTCGAAACTTATTTTTTATGCGCGCGACCGGTATGTGTTGTCGAAGTACTTATTAGGGGAAAAGAAAAAAACAAAAAAAAAGAGAACTGTATTGCCCGAAAGATAAGTGAGAACCACAGAGGAGAGTTTCACTGAAGTAGTAGTCATACGGACCTCGCGAGTAAACGACTCTAATTAAGCCTAGCGTTTACAAGTCGCCCACGGGCGATGAAACGAACGAATTCGGCGTACGTATTGCGCGAACAACTGGAATAATATTTGGAAGTCGAATAAAGTGCTTGTTGTGCTCGGAGCGGTGTCACCTCTCCCGCGCTTACTCGAAATTGTCTGACAGTCGCTCGAACTTGCGCGAGCTTGCGAAGGAGTCGCCGAGGTCCGATCGATCCGGGCACGATCGATCGTTCGCGGCGGTCGTATTCGGGCGAGAGAGAGTTCTCCAATATTGTAATTTCGCGTGTACTGATATTATGCATTCATTGATACTGCGTGTACGTGTGTGATACCGATCGTGTTACATTATATTTATATATCGTATTAATTTTATGCGCGTGATATGGCGCCACGCACTTTCGTGTTTATGAATGTTCTTTTTGAGTGAGAACGCAAAATCTCGTCCCGAACTCAGCCGCGAATCGTGGATCGTGTCCGTGGATCGACACGCGGAGGAAGAAGGAGCAACATACGTGTAATAATTGTAACGTGCTCACACTTTAACGTTAAGTCGCGCCGCTACACACTCACTGGAGATTTTAAATTGTAATTTCAATTTCGTAGAGAGCCTTACAACGTCGATCGAGGTTAATGTTTGTAGAGCGACTTTAACGACTATTGTTTTAAATGTGCATATTTATATGGTTACGTTAACAAACAAAAAAAAAAAAACGAAAGAAGAAATACATGCATAAGTTATACATGCCCGTTATTGTAAATCTTATATACTTGTCGATCTTTTGTGTTCTCTTTTTTTCTCTCCTTCCGACCGTAATAGTCTATCGAGATATTACTAGGCTAAAAAGAATAGCTCTTAACATATCGGTTCGTTGAGTCAGCAGTCCGCAGTGACGCCGAATTAATCCACGATCGTGCGGACGGTTCATTAGAAGCGATTCTGCCTTGCGTAAATATGTCTATTTAGTATTTGTAAACGACAAATTCATATATATACACATACACACACACACATAACACACGAGAGGATCAATTCTTCGCGCACAAAACGAACTCTTACTGCGAGATCTTAGTGTGGCATTATTGTAACTAGGGTTGTACATGAGCATTATAGACTGAATAGTATCTTGCGGACATAGTTGTATTAAAAGAGAAAAAAACAAAAAAAAAAGAAAAAGAGAAAAAAGAAGGACGTTGTAGATGCGAACCCGTGAACACACGCGCGCGCTGTGATCTCAGCGTGAAACGAAAACGATCTTAGCGGGAACCCTCTTATATCATTGTCCAAGCACGATCGAGACATAACGAACCGCTCTCGACGACTAGATGTAGTGAATGCTAACGGATCTAATGGCGCGGCGCGCGATAGGAAAGAACGAGAAATCGCGATGAAGATTGCCGAGTTATAAGTTCCACAGCCGGGAGTTCGTGACTTTATTTCGTGTTCGCGCTCCTCTGACGGGGGGAACGCACGAGCGTGTTCGGCTTGCAGCTCGCTCTCTCTCTCTCTCTCTCTCTCTCTCTCTCTCTCTCTCTCTCTCT